AGCTGTTGCCATTAGAAGGGACTAAGGTAGTTCTCACAGGATCCTACTTTTCTCATGAGAGTCAGTATAAATGCCTAAACGTAACCCCTGCGTCTGTCTGTGGCTTCCTGTCTGGCCATATGATCTCTCTTTCTCTCATCATTATGATACTTTTTGCAGGAGCTGAGCTGAGATGAGCCTGGCAAGATGCACTTGGGTTTTCAGAAATGTAAGCCAAATAAAACTCCTTCTTCATAAAGTTACTTTGCCTCAGGTATTTTAGTGCAGCACAGAAAACAGACTAATACAGAAGTTCACAGGAACTCACCAGTGCAAATATTGAAGTGGCTTTCAATGCCTTCTCTAAAGCACATTGCATCTCAATCAAGGACCGAACCTCACTCTTGGCATCAAGTGTTAGAACAGGTAGGCAAACTGGACTGGGAACTGAGAAGGGGATGTGGGGATGTATGTGGTCACTAAAGGGGTGCTGACTGCTGTTTCCATAAGATTCGGAATCCCAGCTATGTCACTGACTTGCTTTGGAAACATGGCCAAGTCACACGCTCTTCAGTTTTCTTACCCTTAAGATTAAGGATTCCATTAAGTGACTTTACTGCTCTAGGATCCTTTATAGAGTTGTGTTTTCGTTTGGTTTGGTTTGGCTTGATCATTTTAGAGGTGTAACCTACATCTTTTATTTGCATCATTTTATCCCCTGGCTTGGAAGAGTGCTGGGAGGGGAGGACAGGACTCAAACATTTTTCTTCTTCTCATTTGTAGTGTTGCAAAGTGCTTTAAGTACCTGGCCATTTGTTTTGGTCAGTGCTTCACTCTTTTTTTTTTAATATTTTCTCCAAGTTATTTATTTTTGATCCTTTTCCTTGAATTAATGTAGTTTCCTCTGCCTGCATCCAGATGATTGGGGTTTGTGTTTATGCAATTACTTAAGACTCATCTCAAAGTCTCTTGCTCTGGGCATCTTCCTATTGGCCATGGTCAGTGCAAATTCTCTGACACTTCATTGTTTTCTTAGCAGTGACTTAAAGCATTTCTAGTTTTCCTGTGTACAGGTCTATCTCCTCTATGATCTTGTAAGCTCTGTGAGAATAAGAAACAGCTTTACATCCATGTTTCCAAAGCTCAGAAGTGCTGCCCATGTATGCTTATTAGATAAAGAATTGAAGAAAGAACTTTGTCTGTACCCCAATTGTGCCCTCATGGTCCTCAGAGTGAGCAAAGCTTAGAGGTGACCTCTGTTTCATTCTTTATGAGGAAGTAGCATGGGTATAGAGTGGGCTGGGGATGCTGGTGAGGCTCACTAGTAGTGCACTTACCTAATATGTGTGAGATCCTGGATTCAATCTCCTGAACTGGAGAGAGAGAGGAGAAAGACTAGTTTTTTCCTAGTCTTACAAATTCCCTGACTTAAAATTTTTTGTATAAGGGCTGGGGATGTGTATCTCAGTGGTGCCACTGCCTGCCTTGCACGTGCAAGGTCCTGAGTTTGATCCCCAGTACCAAAAAGCAAAAACAAAAAACCCCAAATTTTGTAGGTAATGAGAAAGTAGCTTGTGGGTGTAGCTCCAGCTTGTGCAAAGATCTCGGTTTGACCTCTAGCACTGGCTGGTGGTGTGGGGGTGGGGAGACAGATCTGTCCTGGCCACATCCCATCTCTTGTCTTATGTTTTCTCAGTTATGAATTCACGATCACTCATGGGTAGCGTAAGAACACGGTGACGCTACCCAAGCTCATGAGATGGGGGAAAGGGCAACAAGACTCATACACTTTGGGTTGCCAGTCTCAGCATGAGGGCATCGCAAAGCCAACCCCCTGCTGGCTTTGGCCAAGGTCCTGGATCTGTTCTCTGTGCATCAGCATGTGTCAGTTTGGGCACAGGGAAGGGAATGTGGCAAGGGTCAGGCACAAGCAGCGGTGCCCAAAATGGCTTTGACAAGAGTAGGAGACTCTTTGCTCAGATGCGTGGAGGATGAGAGAAGACAGAGAGTAGACAAAAACCTCTAGACTTCTGTCCATTATTTCAGGCAGGAAAGCAAAGGGGAGGTCTCTTAAATGTTGGCAAAGGAGAAGCTGGCACGAGGCTGGGGAGTACCAGAAAGTCCTTGTGGACAGGAAACAGAGGAAGGTATGGGGTGGGTATGGAAACAAGATGGACACAGAGAGAAAGGCTAGAACAAATAAACATGGGAAACAGGCACAGAAAGAGAGAAGATTGGTTAAAACGAGAGAAACACACAGACACTAGAGAGGAAAGCTAAAGTGGGGTGAAAGAAAAGTTTGGAGAGAAAGGAGGATGGGCAGTGAGTACCAGAAGCTGGGCATCCGAGCGCATGCCTGGCTTGCTTTGTTCAGGAAAATTTCTGTAAGCCTGGCATGGGGAGTGTGTGTGCACAGAGGAAAATGTGCTGGCTCCTGCCCAGGGCCTGGTCGAGGACAGAAACAGATCAATTAACCTGGGTAGGGCTCTCCTGCCAGTGTTCAGTGCCTGGCCAGGCCAGGTCAAGGCCTCTCACGTGACCGTCAAGCTGTTAAAGGGCCATCAGCTGGAGGCCAGGATCAGCCTTTTACCTTGAGAAAAATCTCCCTGTGCCCACATCTCCCCCACCAGCCACCACCTCTCTTCCAGGCCTAACTCGCCATTTGGAATCTGAACAGGCTACACGAGGACACTCCGGAAGTCAGCACAGGAGTACGACGAATCGGTGGGATGATCCTGGGGCGGATCTGAGGGCAGAGCAGCAGTGCTTTGGAGAAGAATATTCTCAAGGGTCTGAGACTCGTAATGCGCGTTAGAGGGGAAAGGTAGTGCCTTTGAAATCAAAGCTAAGCAGAAGCTGGGTTTATAATTCATGCATTCATTGTTTTCTCAAGAGTTTTTGAGCATCGACAATGCACAGGGCACTGTGCTGGAGGCTGAGGCTACAGAGAGAAGTAAACACGCTCAGCGTCCTCAGGGGATAGCGATTGCAACACAGCCTCCTCTACCCAACTTAACAGAAGCGCTTAGGGAGCTTGGTGGGGGGAATGTGGCAATTCTGCTTTGAGGACAAACAAGATATCTAGGAAGGGGATATCTGGGCACAGCACTAAAGGCCGAGTGGAATCCACCAGACAGAGAAAGCAGAGACATGAGGTAAAGAGAGGTAAGGGTAAAAGCAGGAAGCTGTGAAGGAGCACAGTGAGGCTCACCTGGAGGGTGGATTGTAACAGATGGGGCAGGCCAGGTGAGATGAGAGGATTGAATGGAAGCAGGGGCAGATGAGGGCAGGCACAAAGAAAGGCTGCGACCCCAAAGGTTTTAGTTAGAAGGAAGCTCAGGGACCATCTAGTCACCTTTGACATTTAGAAAAATATTTATCTGTGTAGACTTTATTGAAGAGTGCCTGGGTTTGGGGAGAGAGACATCACAGTAAGGTAAAATCTCAAATCAATCCCTTCATTCCTCTTCTTCAAAAGAGCTCTAATGGGACTGTTTCTTCTCCTTCCTCCTCCTCCTCCTCCTCCTCCTCCTC